TCTGTTGATTAGTAGGGAACCATAAGTTAAGAATATACAATTGATTCCACCTTTTGTGCCATCCTGAGAGCTAAGAAAAAGAGATGACCTTTAAACAGATCTTGGTTGAAGAGAAGGGTGAATTGGTTCATTGACATGAAATGAATGCAGAGATGACAAAAATGCTGTCTGCAATTAAGCCTCTGAACACTGCTATCCTGTTTGTGGAGGATGGAAATGAAAAGGGATGTCAAATGTGAGGATGAGATGCCTTTTTTTTCTTGCAGAACAGGGTCTTGGTGCATCAAAGACTGCCCTTAGTGTGGATTAAATCTATCACAAAATGGCAAAACTGTAAGCTAAATGTCAAATAATTTTCGGTTGTCTGTGTTTCATTATTGCTGATGATTCAGAAATCCATCAGAATCACAGTTCAGTTTTTTCCGTGTCCAAAGATATATCTAGCCATTGTTCTGCTGAGTAATAGCAAGACTATGGCCAGCATATATTGAATGCACTTGAAATAGTGATGAACCTGAGTTATTTTTCATTATATCTACAAACTGGAAAGATTGAGGCTTTTGTGCATTTAAAATGACACTGCTAAGTTTAATTTGTGCTCTGAGGTCATTTGATTTTTGTCCATAGTAAAAATAGTCTATTGTAAATAGTGGGTATAAAGGTAATATGATTCAACTGTAAATAGATTTTGAGCAACTTTACGATTATATAGATTGAGTATGAAATAATAGGACACAGGCATGGATGAATTATGGTTGCAAGAGGGAAAGGCCGATAGTTCTTTTATTTGATGAGCTTTTGTTTTCGTCTCCCAGACTTCAAACAACTTCTACTGAATTGATTTAATTTCTGTCAAAATGGTCAGTGGATTTGAACAGTAAGATGAATAGAATAATTTCAACATCTGCACAGCAAAAAGGTCAAACCTGTATTATATCGTGCCGGTCATTTTGTTTTAAATCGAGTAATGAGTATTATTTAAATGATAATTATATTGTCCATATTTGTAGTGACTTACTTAAATTGAATAATGAAGATCTTCTTGATGCTGCAAAGTATTATAAATTGGAAAGTGCGATTCTCCATGGTTTGTGTTGTTAGCTTTTGTCAGTTAGATTATGACAGTGTAATTTCTGCAAGCAAGAGTTGGCTGTGACTGAAAGATAAGGTCAAGTCGACCAGAAACAAACTGAGTGATGCACAACAAATCAATGGTGGAGTTGAAACATTGTCAAACTTTACAAAAGAAATAAACTTTCAATAGCATTTTCTCAGGGTATTCCTTAGAATATTGTAAAAACAACACTCCAGACTGGAGGGAAATAATCACTGGCGCTGTTCTGATCAAGATGTTATAAGAAGCAAGTATGTGTGACTGAGGGGAGCAGGGGCAGAAGAGGGAAGATCGTACCTTGACCAAGTTGGCTCCAGATATGCAAATTTCTTAGAGGGGCACCCACCAGGTGAATTCTTTTCTTTCCCTTGCGTAGTGGACTGATAACAGCAATTACTACTTATACATGAAGATTAAACAAGTGAGGAAGAAAATATTCAGCAAAATCCTAATGTTTACAATGGCTCCATAGAAAGTATCATTTAATCCTTCTCTAGTAGACTTGCAGCATCTCCTCTAAGTTAAGGCACAACAACAGACAGATCAGTATAACCTGAGTAAAGATTCCAGATGAGACAAAGCCAGCTGTTTCAGACTAATTAGATGTTGGATTCCGAAATTGGTCTTGGTGAGCAAAGGCTGTGGAAGTGTAGGGAGCAATAAAGTGACACCAAGTTTTGTACCCAATAATCGATGCTTGAAAAAGCATAAATGTATCTGTTAAGTGAGGACAGAATTAGGTTCAGTATTGATATCCATCATGGTTAAACAGTTCACCAACAGACACTGCTTAGGCACTTTGTATTATTAATTCATGAGATATCCACATCGTTGGCTGGTCCAGCATTCATTGCCTATCCATAATTACTCTGGAGAAACTATCGGTGAGCTGTTGTCTTGAACTGCTGCAGTCCATGTTGTTAGGAAGCAAATTTCAAAATTTTCGATGCAGAATCAGGTTACTTACCACAGAATTCTCAGCCTCTGTGGGCACCGTAGCTATTAGGCTGGCCCAGTTCAGTCTTTGGTCATTGGTAACCCTTAATGCTGATAGTAGGGATTCAGCAATAGTTATGCCATTGAATGTCATGGGGAAATGACCAGATTCTGTCTTGTTGTAGATAGTTATTGTCTTGACATTTGTATGACCTGAATATAGCCACCACTTATTAGGCCAAGTCTTGCTGCATATGGACATGGACATGAGTTGTGAATGTGCTGAACAATGTGTAATTATCAGCGAATCACCCCATTCTGCCATATGATGAAGGGAAGACATTGGTGGAGCAGCTGAAGACAGTTGGGCTTAGGATGCTATATATGGGGAGGCGATGGCCTAGTGATATTGGACTGTTAATCCAGAGACTCGGATAATGTTCTGAGGATCTGGGTTCGAATCCCACCATGGCAGATGGTGGAATTTGAATTCAATAAATATCTGGAACTAAGAGTCTAATGATGACCATGAATCCACTGTTGATTGTTGGAAAAACCCACCTCGTTCACTAATGTCCTTTAGGGGAGGAAACTGCCATTCTTACCCGGTCTGGCCTACGTGTGACTCCAGACTCACAGCAATGTAGTTGACTCTTAACTGCCCTCTGGGCAATTAGGGATGGGCAATGAATGCTGCCTAGCCAGCAATGCCTTTGTCCTGTGAATGAATAAAGGGGAAAAAAAAAGTATTTCCTACAGCGATGGTCTGGAACAGAGGTGATTGACCCCAGCAACCACAACTTTCTTACTATCTCTGTCTTCTTTATGTGTGCTAGGTATGACTTCAGGCAGTGGAAATTCTTCCCCAGATTTCCATTGACTCTAGTTTTGCTGGGGCTCCCTGATGCAAAAACTCAGTCAAGGGCAATCACCCTCAACTCCCGTTTATCTGGAGGATAATTTCAAATGTTTATTAAATGTGAAAAATGAAATATTTCTGGTAGAAGTATTTAAACATGCTTCTGTTTAAGTATAAATTTTGTTGCCTTTTATTTAATTTTGAAATTTACTGCCTTGACATGCCTTGAAGTCATATGCTAGATTCATTTGATTTATATATTAAGTACAGTGGCCCAGATTGTGAAAAATCAGAACCGAGACACATTGAAAACCAGTGGAAGGGTGAGACTCTGTGGTGATTGACATGTTGGGTGGCCAGTGTTGGGTATCTTATGCAGGACCCTTGAAGGTTGAATGTAATGTGACCGCGTCCCTGGAATTTGTTCAGGCAGACTTGGCAGTCGTATTCTGTAGATTACTTAAAAGGTGTCATTAGTAATAGAGCCTTTGATAATGAAAAGGTAATGATACCTGCCTTGAAGATGTCAGCGTGGGGTGGAGGAGGGGGTTCGGGTCTACTGTGTACAGTGGTATGATGTGGTACGTGTTTCCTGGAAGAAGGACCATGACATTTGAACTCTGTTTAGAAATTTGTTGGGACACTGGAACATTTACTGGAAAATCTGACTGTTCTGGGGAAAACCAACATGTCTAGTCACTGTAGCCATATGCATATGTGCCTTAAGGGCCTGTCTTAAATCGACACAATTCCAGATTGAACTTCTAACTGATTCTTTGTCTATTTGGGATCGTACTTTCTTTGTTTTCTATTCTTGCTATTCTGTCCCTTTTAAAGCATCATGGCCAAACATGTTGACCATGTTCCTGGTGTGGTATGATCAATGCATTACCTCTGTTTTGGCTTTGAATCCCAATATTCAGTCCGTTGGTTTATTACTGCTCCTCATTTTCTCAATAATTGAAACTGCTGAGTCTCATGTTTTATTTTGTGCCTGTACTGATCCTGTCCCTTTACTTCACACCCACCTTTTTTTGTCCACTGGACAATATATTGTATTTGCTCAAATGGAAACTAATTTGCCATCTATTTCCCTAATTGCATAACAAATTTAGGCTTTTATTCAAAATATTAAATCTTTTGCATGTCCCATTTTAATGTACTCTACAAATATAACAATTACTCTTAGTTTCCGATCCAGACTATGTCAGAATGTAAGAAGTTATAATTGTACATTATTCCATTCATTATCTTCTCCTTTCTGATACAATACCTTTTTAAGTGTGTGTTGTTTCATTTTTTTTCAGGTCCAAACAACCTAATCATATTCTTTCTGGCGAAGGATCACTGGACTCAAAATGTTAACTGTTTTCTCTCTATTGATGCTGCTAGACCTGTTGCATTTCACCAGCACTCCCTGCTTTTGTAACCAAATCATATGTTGGATTTGTAGTAGATTTTCTTTCTTTAGAAGTCTTTCGCATGGTTCCTTGTCAAAGACTTCTTGAAAGTTCAAATCCAATTGAATTATGTGGAATTGAAGAACCTCAACTGACAGGATATTCTCCTTTTAAAACTGTATTGGTACTTGTCCAACCTACTTAGTGCAGTTCCTATAATTTTACCTGCTCTTGACAGACTAAATGCTTACATCTATGAGGTGGTATCTATAATGGAGACATTCATTTAATTTTGTGGAAGGGAAGATTATAACTTTTTCTGCTTTGAGCCATAACTGAATGGTCTGAGGCAAATCCAGCATTCTTAGCACAGAAGGAGATCATCATTTACATCATGTAAACGTGTTCACACGTTCTTGCTCTGCAGATATGCTTGAAGCTGTGCGTAATATAGTGAAGATAATGCTCAGTAACAGCAAATTAAATGATCTGTTTTTAAACATAAACTGATGTTGTGTACCCCTTTGTCCTCTGTTTTAGCAACAATAGATGATCAGTGATTGCTTTTGTAACCTTTAAAATTAAGTGTTTAAAAAGTTTTAGTACATTATTGATCTCTGGAAGAAGGAACAAAAATTTCAAAATATTATTTCCACTTTTATAAATTTATTTCCTTCTCACTTCATTCTAGCTCGACAAGCTCTGAAATGGTTAAAAAACAGAAGGTGGATAACATTGACAGAAGTGATCATGATGGTAGGTGTTAATTCCAAAACTGTCTTTACCATGTACGATGTCTGTTCTGCATTAGCCAGAAATAACTCCAGATTTGGTAGTGTGTTGCTCTCTGTTTATTTGAAATCACAAGTTTTCAGAGTGTAACTCCTTTGCCACTTCACTTGATGAAGGAGCAGCACTTTGAAAGCTTGTGATTTCAAATAAACCTGTTGGACAGTAACCTGGTGTTACGTGACTTCTGACTCTGTCCACCCTAGTCCAACACCAGCACCTCCATCGTGACTTTTTTGATTGTAATCCTCTGTATAGTTGTAGCATTGTGCAATGTGCATACCATACCAGTTTTAAGTTGTTTCACCTAGAATCGTAAGAGTCATACAACATGGAAACAGACCCCTCAGTCCAGCAAGTCCATGCCGACCATGTTCCCAAACCGAACTAGTCCCACCTGCCTGCATTTGGTCCATATCCCTCCAAACCTTTCCTATCATATGTTTATCCAAATGTGTTTTACATGTTGTAACAGTACCTGCAACCACCACTTCCTCTGGCAGTTCATTCTACACACTAACTAAATAAAGTTGCTCCTTGTGTCCTTTTTAGATCTTTCTCCTCTCGTCTTAAAAATATGCCCCCTAGTTTTGAATTCCCCCACCTTATGGAAAAAAGCTTTGCTATTCATCTTAACTATGCCCCTCATGATTTTATAAACCTCTATAAGATCACCCCTCAAACTGCTACATGCCAGTGAAAAAAGTCCCAGCCTGTTTTTATATCTCAAATCCTCCATTCACGCCAGGATCCTGGTAAGTTTTTTTTTCTGAACCCTCTCCAGTTTAGTAATATCCTTCCTATAACATGCTGACCAGAACTGCACACAATACTCCAGAAGAAGCCTCACTAATGTTCAATACAACCTCAACAAGATATTCCAATTCCTATACTCAAATGTCTGAGCAATGAATGCAAATTTCAAAGAATTATGTACAGGAACCTTTAGGTGTCTCTGTTCTAAAATACTGCCCGGGGCCCTGCCATTAATTATGCAAGTCCTAGTTATTTTGACTTTGGTCCTCTCCTGCCAAAAACAGCAACTAGGCTTCCACTTCTTTCATTGCTTCTACCCTGTTGGATTGCAGTTCAATCAGCATTGGCCACCCTGAACTCGCCCCCAGGTAAGGCATTGCATCTGAGCCTGATCCTGATCTTGAATGTACAACATTCCAGCAGTAGTTACTATCTCATGATTATGGCAGGAACTGGTTTCTTTTTCTGCATCCTCCTCCCTCATCCTTGCCTACAGATACTGAGGTCTATTGTTGCTACAGTTTGACTATCACTGGTGTGATCATTAACTAAGCACTGATGAAGACTCCTCCTCATCTCTGTACCTCAGTACCACATCGGGTGCACATTTTCCATCGACTCATCAGTTAATTTTTTAACAATATCTCTTTGGTTTGCATTGTATTTAGTGCATTATGCTTTTAGTCTGGTATCTATTTTGGTGTCAGACATAATCTCACCTACAAGGTTGGTATTGCAATTTTCAGTTCTGCATCTACATATGTCTAGGATCAGCATCATTGATCTCACTGCTCGGGTTGCACCATTTGAAGTTTGCCCTCACTAGCGTCAAATTGTGTGAAATGACCAGATTGTCATATCTAGCAGTGAATTATAACAATGAAAATCCCTTAAAAGAACTGGATGCATTAATTTTACATGTCACCCAATCAGTATTCTCCTGTCCTTTGATAGGAAGTTAGATGAACACTAATAAAACAAATTAGACTCTTGAAAATGTGAACATAAAGACGAATAATTGTATCTTGTTTTAGCTTATTCCATGACGCGTGATATACCTAATATAGAAAGTGAAGCATGCTGTACTTGGTGTTGTACCTTGCCATCAAGCATACAATGCAAACCAAAGAGATATTGTTAAAAAAATTAACTGATGAGTCGATGGAAAATGTGCACCCAATGTGGTACTGAGGTACAGAGATGAGGAGGAGTCTTCATCAGTGCTTAGTTAATGATCACACCAGTGATAGTCAAACTGTAGCAACAATACATCATGTCATAGTGTATTGAGTTTGCACTGCTACATTGTATATTGGAATTGCAACTCGCATTAGCAAGATACACGGCACTATGTTTAAAATGAGAGTCTTTTCTCCCTGAGTAGATACCAGAGTGTTGTCTTTGCAATGTAGATGTTTTTCCTTTCCTACTGGAAAGGCTTGACTCTGACCCTGACAGATCTTCAGGACTGTGATTTTGCTAATTTGACTGATAGTTCCACTGCTACCCACCAGGAAATCTTCTCAAGCTTGATACCTGGTCATGTTCAGTGAAAGTAGAAGCCTTTTTGACATTATATGTATGAACATCACCAGCAATGTGTTGTGATGTTTGAACAGCCTGCTCAACATCTTAAAAGTCTGTGGATAACAGTTTTGATGGCAGTCCTGACTCCTTCATTTAAGCACATTAAAATATCAAACCCCCTTTTGTTCTAATGACGCCAATCTTTTATTTGTGTCAATCAAATCTTTATTTTAAAACATGCTAGCCCTTTTAAAGAATAATCATTTGATTGCTGAAACTGTCTTGAGAAACCTATTACAACTGAAAAATGCCTACTCAACCGTGCAGTTGCAAATTGTAAAATATGATAGGGGAATATAACCTTTTGTCCATCTACAGCTTTTACCAGGAGTACTCGGGAATGACTGAAACAATTTTTCAGTCGTTTTAGCTGGTGCTGCTTTATCTTACTGGTAATTTCTTCCTTTTAAACTACAATCCTCATTCTCAATAAGAATCATAGAATCACTAGGATGAAAACAGGCCCTTCGGCCCAACAAGTCCACACTGACCCATCCCCCTATAACCCACCTAATCTACACATCCCTGAACACTATGGGCAATTTAGCATGGCTAATCTACCTAACCAGCACATGTTTGGACTGTGGGAGGAAACTGGAGTACCGGGAGGAAACCCACGCAGACACGGAGAGAACGTGCAAACTCCACACAGACAGTTGCCTGAGGGTGGAATTGAACCCAGGTCCCTGGTGCTGTGAGGCAGCAGTGCTAACCACTGAGCCACCGTGCCGCTCTTAAGTAGCTGACTTTCACAAAGAATTATGAAGTACTCATACAACACATATATTCTTGATGGAGCAATCCATCTTGAGCACTGTTATCCTGGCTTATAGCAGCAGAACTTAAAAATGAAATAATTTGTAATTTTGGTTGGCTTTGGAATGCCCTCACCTCCCCAGACGATTCATAGTCAATGAGTTAATTTTGAGTACTTGGACAAAGTACTTCCAAAAATCCGAAAATAAAAACAGAATACTCTTGGAATATTCAACATATTACTTCATAATGTAGGCACTGTCATACACAGCGTAGTGTGACAACCAACTTGCACTTAGTAAGGTGTCGGAAGAAAGACCAGCTAATCTGTTTACATGACACCTGAGGGTATAAATGTTAGCCAGGGTAGAGAAGGTTTCCACTTCCTCAGTGCAGCAATGACTTGTTGGCCTAGATTATGCTCTAGTCTCAAGATTGACTATGGATCCAGGAACATTTGACACTCTCTCGTCTTGGAGTCAGCTTAGTCCAATAAGCCTGTGTCTTTTTGTAGGTAGGTGAAATTGGTTATTCTGGATTTTGGTTATTATAATGTATCCATAGTGAAATGTTTATTAATGGTTGTTTTTTATTTTGTAAAGTTTAAATGTCTGCAAACATTGCTTTATAAATGTGATAGAGTATTGATGTTGTATCCTTAGACACTGGTTGGTAAGTACAGGCTTTGGATGGTGCAGATGGAAAAAACAGAAGTCAAACAGAACATAACAAACAAGTATTCTATCGTAGCAGTTTCACCAGCATTGGAGATAAATAAGCAACTCGTCAGCCCTGTGCTGAGTAAATTTTTCAGTCATAACAAGCTTATCTTCTCCTCTTTACTCCCAGTCCACAGTTTACAATCAGTGACAAAATGTCAACCACTAAAATAGCTGGTGAGCCAGAATATTTATTCTGGGAAACTTTTCACTTCTCAGGAACTCTCCTAGTTCCACTGGAAATGTTTTTTAGTTATTTGGGTTCTATTCCATGAAGGCTGACACTGTAGGAAGAGGCTTTCTTAGAGGGAGGTGGAATTATTAGTTGGAAAATGACCCTGTTACACAGGAACGCGGGAAAAATGAGCTGGAAGCATTTGGCTCCTAGGGCCTGCTCTGCCATTCAACTAGATCACAGCAGATTTGTCTCCATGCCACTTTTCCTGCATTATGCCCATACCTTTTGATATCTTTAATATTTGAAGATCTATCAATCTCTGTCTTGAATATGCTCTGTTGTTGATAATTACACATACAATAGGTACAGACTGGAAATTGGTGAAAGTCCAAAAATAAGGTTTCAAAAATAAAATACTTTTAGATGGAAGAAACCTAGGGAGAGTGTGAAGAAAGGAATATTCTGTTTCCCTCTTTCTGTCTCCTCTGACCAAAAGGTGCATAGGAAGCAGCACTCAAAATACAGGGGGATGGTGGGTGAATCTGTCTGCTGAATCCCCAAGTTACCACAAAAATTTACTCTCAGGACTGTCAGTCACAGAGAAGTTGTCCTTTGTAATTTGGATGAGCATACAAATTGGGAGCAGAAGTTGGTGATTCAGTCCCTCATGTCTGCTCCACCATTCATTGCTTATCCATGCATATTTTGAATGGCACATTCATATCCACCCATTGATAACCTTTGACTCCTTTACCTAACAATAATCTGTCTACCTCGCCTTAAAAATATACAATGACCTCATCTCCTCCGCTTCCTCAGGCCAAGTGTTCCAAAATCATACAACCTTCTGAGGGAAGAAGATTCTCCTTATCTTTGTCTTAAAAGAACAATTCCTAATTTTTAACTAGTGCCCACTAATTCTGAACTCACACAGAAGAGTAAATATCCTTGCCATGTGCACCTTGTCAAAACTATTCAGAATCTTATCTACTTCAATGAAGTCAACCTACAACCCATCCAATCTAATGAAAACAAGCCCAACCTGTCTAATCTTTCAACAGAAGACAACCTGCTCATGCCAGGTATCAATCCAGTAAATCTCCTGTGAATTGCCTCCAGTACGTTTTGCATTCTTCCTTAAATAAGATGATCAAAACTGTAAACAGTATTTGAGACGTGTCTTACCAATGCATGGTAAAACTAAATTGTAGCATCTTTTCTGTTCAATTCCTCTCATAATAAAGGTTAGCATTCCATTAGTTTTCCTTATTACAGGCTGTGCCTGCATACTAACTTGTTGTGACTCATGCAGTAGAATGCTGGGATCCCTCAGAATTCTGCAATCATTTCCCCTTTGAGACATACTGTGGTTTTTATTCTTCCTGCCAAAACTAACTTGATATTTTCCACATTATATGCTATCTGCCAGACATTTGTCTGTGCACTTTAAGTATTTATATCTATTTGCATCTTCCTTATGCCCTCTGCACAACATTCTTTCTGACTTAGCTTTGTGTCATCTGCGAAGTTAGCTACTATGCCTTTGATCCCTTCATCTAAATCATTGAGGTAAATTATAAAAAGCTCAGAGCCCAGTAAAGACATCTTCCATCATATCCTGCCAATCAGAAAAATACACATTTACGCATACTCTGTTTTGTGCTAGCCAGCCTACCTTCTGGCCACACTAAATATTGTTACCCCCTACACCATGAGCTGCTACCTTCTGCAATAACTTTTATATGGGAAACCTTGTCAGACGATTTCTGGAAATGCTACCTCTACATGCTCCCCTTTTCCAGTCATTGGCTGGTTCTCACTTGTGATTGTGGCTGACAAATGTCCGAGAGGAGCTGCCGACGATTGAAGGCTTAGATGTGCTGGCAGTAAGGGGGTTGTTGAAAGCTGGGAGCAGGGGCCTGCGGCTGACAGCCTGAGAGGGTGGGAGGCTGGGGTGGCCACCCTTTCTATTGAAATCCTGCACCTGGGAGCACCCTTTTAGCTGGACTGACTGTCTGCCTGGTTTGTGTAGGGGAGACAAGGATGCTGGAAAGAGATAGCTGGAGGCACAAGGTTGCGGGGAGAGATAGTTGAGGCACAAGGGTTGGGAGGATACACGGAAGGGGAGGGGTTGGGACGGGAGAGGGTAAAGGTTGCAAGGTGGGTGAGTGGAGACTCCAAGAAGGTGGGAGGGCACAGAGGCTACAAAGAGAGGGCAAGGGAAGGTGCAAAGGGATAGGGTGGAGAGGAAGGGTGCAAGGAGGTAGTTTGTGGGGGGCATCTGCAAGGGCAGAGGAGAGGAGAGACGAGGAATTGCAAAGAACAGGTTTAAACCTGACTAAAAAGGAAACTCTGCAAAATAGAAGCTAGAAAATCTTGAAATCATTGATGTAATGAATTACTTTGCAAGTGATTTATTTGTGCCCTGATGGGATGCAGGCTAGAAATGGTATGGAAAAGCAATTCACATACTTGGGCTAAGTTCTATCAAAGCAGAAGAGATCTTGCATGTGGGTGGTATTACTGATGAAGTTAGTTTCTTGTACCTCTGCCAAGGATGGCTTAATAGTTAGCAAGAAGCTCGTGCTGTGGGAAAGAAATCGCTGTTTGAAGCATTATTAGATATTGTGTGAGTAACCTTCTTTGAGTTACTTAAGCTTTTCATTATGTGCTACACCACAGGGCTTAAAGTTAGGATCATAATAACTTTGTGTCTATAGCTTTTTCAGTGCCCCTGAATGTTACAAATTAATTTAAAAAAAAAAAAAACCCCTTTGAAATCCCACAGCTGTCAGTATATGGATATTTGAGAATATGATGTCTGATTTCTAATACACTGTTAAATCCAGCAGTGTCATAAGTTATTTGCATCATTGCTGGGTTGATGTATAACTACTTTTCTGTGGATATTGGAAAATGTTGAACTGTAGTTAGGCTGTACTATATTCTGTCACTTAATTTGATTCTTCTTACAGATGATGACCGCTGCAATCCAGCAGAGTCTGATTTCTTAACTGGCACAGCAATCCAGCATCCTTCAGCGAGTGTGTGTGTCGGAATTCTCCCTGGCCTTGGTGCCTACTCGGGGAGCAGTGACTCGGATGCAGAGTCCAGCTCGGACAGTGACATTATCATCAACACTGGAGGTCGAATTATCTCTTCGGTCTTTCGTTCCCACCCTTTTCCCGAAAGCCCGTGAAGTGAAATATTCAAGGCAGTGTTTTATTTGTGTAGGGTGGTTTGTAACATGCAGGCTCCTGCATAAAATGGTATAGAAAAGGTTTGTGTTTGGCTTCTCCACCTCTGGCAGCCATGTGTGAATATAAAAGTTCAAATCCCCATTCAAAATCTGATTGGATAATGCAGCAGGCCACTGCACAGTTAACTGTACAGAGGTGAGTGCCTTTGGACTTGAATCCAAGGGCGAGATATGTTGTTGAATATTGTCAACATTTTAAGTGTAAATAATTCTTTTTACACTCGCATGCTTAAATGATACAGCTAGTTGTAAGTTAAGACAATAGAACTGGTAGCCATATTTTGGCTGTTAATGTACAGCTATGAATAAGATGGATACCTGTGTGTATCATTGTTGATGGCCAATAGCCATTTAAGAAGTAAATAAATTCTCCGTCAGTCCCCAGTGCTTCTCCTTTGTGTGCTTTCTTGGGTACATTCCTTTGGCTACTTAACTAACTATGTATCTACTTTATTTTTAGATAATTTAATGTAGTCAGTTTCTTGATATCCCATGAGCTAAATCCTCCATGTTTAGGCTTTTCCAGTAGGAGGTGCCATGAAAACCATGATTGGGTGTAGCCATATCAGGCACTCCTAGACATCTGTCCCTCAGCCTGTGTGGACTTGTCAGATGCACTTTTGGTTTCTGATGGTCTGCCTTCCAGTGGGATAGGATCTTGTCTTTACTTGCCATACTGTCACTGCAGACTGCTGTCTTCATGATGAACTGTCAAGGTGAACTTGCTCATAATTGACTTGCTTCAGCATCTCAGTGCTGCGGATCTCTAACAATTTGCATGTTTGCTTTAAGTGTTAATCTATGGTTATTCAGAAACCTCAAAGAAAAGAAATGGGCAAAAATAGATTAACAGCAACAAAGAAAGGCTTCTATTTTTATAGTGCCTTGCACGCTTCTTAGTACATCTCAGTGTGTCACAACCAAGTGTAGTCAGTGTTGTTTTGCAACAAGATGTCTCAGCAGTTTGCACAAAGCAAGTTCTCAATAAGAAAAATGAGATAAATGTAAAGTGAATCTGTTTTGAGTGTTTGTGTTTGAGAGTTAAGTCTGGCAAGGGCACTAGGAGAAAGCTGATCAATCCCTGCAGAACGTACCAAAAGTCTTTTTTTTTAATATCAGTGCTCTGAAATCTGAAATAAAAAATACACTGGCAATACCCAGCAGCTCAGGTAACATCTGTGAAGAGAAACAGAATTGACATTTCAAGTTGATGATGACCTTTCATTCAAGCAGTTTCTGATGAAACATCTTTAAAACCTTCATTGGAGTAGGCAGTACGGGGCCTTGATTCATCAGAAAGATAGCTTCTTTATCAAAGCTGCATTCCCTCTGCTGTGCTGAAGTATCAACTCAGATTCTTGTGGCCTATATCTTCAACCCATGATTTTCTCGGTGTGCGAGTGCTTCCACTGAGCTAAGCTAATGCCCTACTTCTATCATGGGCGTGCTTTAAGTAGTTTTTCCCTGATGCATTTGCTGTAAAGTTACTTTGGTGGCTTTATGGCCTTGGATTTATACCTCCCCCATGTTGGGGTCAGATATGTGAAAACTGCTGCTCTGTAACTCTCTCATACACAAAAATGGCAATACAGATGAATAGCTGGTGGCTGAAGACTATTTATATGTGATGCTTCACTCCAGAAAGGACAAAACTACCTTTTTTGTTGTATATGTTTCATTTCTGTACCAGTGTGAGATGAATGCTTGGTATTACTGTATTGCAGTATGGGTTAATTATAAACTGTCATGTTCTCGACCTCCTGACTTGTTTTTTCCAACAATCTAGAGCTTTCAATGGTAATGCACTGAGATAATTCTCATTGTTCACCTCGGAACTTTATACACTCGAGTTGAAATTGGCTACCAGTGTCAAAAATGTTAAATTACATTTCCCCATATGATTTTAATACCATAATTTTTAAAGACAATTTTTTTTAACCTCAGCACAAATTACAACTATTTTTAGCCCTAACACAACAGTTTACATTAATTCAATTGAGTATCTAAGTTGAAAACAAAAGAAAATGTAAGTAATAAAAATCTATATAGAAGTGTTTTAATTGGTATTTTAATTTTTTGGAAAAGAGGTTTCTAAATTATGAATAAACTACTACATGATAAAATTCATCAGAGCTGTTTTTTAATTGGCAAACTAGTATGTTCCTTTTTGTTCGATTTGCATGTGATGTGACATGCCATTTGTTTGCCCTATTGAAACTTTACTCTGCTGCATTGGTGTTACTGCCATGGGGCCAGAGTGCACAGATTCTGTTCTGCAACTCCTTATCTTTATTGAGAAGATTTCCCCCTGTATAGTGTTTCCAAGACAATTGCAAATGTGTTTACAAAGTGCAGAGGGTGTCCTCACGGCAATTTCTTGATCTGTTGACTTGTCATTGGTAAACAAGGGTTTGAAGGAAGAAAATTGGAGGGCTTGTCAGCCAAGGCTGTCCCTGCACATAATCTAAGAAATTGATTATAGGGCAGTATTGCACAAGTATTTTTCCCCCACTGGTAGACTGTAGACAGTATTTACATCAGCCAATTTGTATGACATTAACTTTTTCACTTTTCACTCTAAATACTGCAATGAGTGAATACTTAATATAAATTGTACTTGGAGAAAATTACTTTACCAGATTTTTTTCCCCCCAGTGAATTAGTTATAAGCTCACAACATGTGCAGTTTTGCAGACCATTTAAATAGAACTTAATGTTGGATTTACTTTTGGAAATAGCATTACTTTAAGTATGATATCTGTATTAATTCCCTGTGTCCCTATTGCCTGTCACAGCACCTACTCAAATATTTACTTGGATAATGTAGCTAGGTGAGCTTTTATTATGCTATATGCCACTAAGCCAAATAGCTATAACTTTTCTGAACATCAAATGCCAATTCATGAAAGACTTTGCATTTGAAATACATTATGTAATTGCATGACCTCTTCTCAGCCTTTTTGCTGACTATTATTATTATTATTTTCAGCAAGTTCACATTTGCAGTCACACAACACCAGGTTGTAGTCCGACATGTTTATTTGAAAACACAAGCTTTTGGAGCCTCGCTCCTCCTTCAGGTGTTAGTGAGAGAGGTAGTATCAGACACAATTTCTAAGTAAAAGATCAAAGGGCCACAATACTGATCAGGATATATTAAACAAACCTGAGATGCTGTTAAATCTTCAATCAGTTAGAAGGTTTTAATTGATTAATGTGTATATGTAAATCCCTGAATTCCTTCAAGTCACTGTCCTGAGAGAACTAAAGGTTTTATCAGTGTAAAGAAGAGGGGACATTTTAGGTCAGACAGTGCATTAGGTGTGAGGCCTTGTTTAGAATCTGTTTGTATTTTGGTTTGGAGTCTGATTGATTGGTTTTATTTCTAAAGTAGGAATTTATAAAACTACCTCTCTCACTAACACCTGAAGAAGGAGTGAGGCTCTGAAAGGTTGTGTTTTCAAATAAAGCTGTTGGACTGTAACTTGGTGTTGTGTGATTTCTGACCTTATCCACCCCAGTCCAACAGCGGCACCTCCACATCACATTTGCAGTGATTGTGATTGCAACGATTTGAATAATTTCATTTTATATCAAAAATCATCCAATTTATATTATTTTTGGCCAGAGAGCCTACTGTTGTACATTTATTCTATGAAATCTGAGGGAAGCAATAGTGCAGTGTATTGTTACTGGGCCAGTAGTCTAGAGTTACTATCTGGAGTAGTTTGGCGGCTCCATTACTGGCTGAGTTGGTCCATTCCTAAAGGATATTGCTGCTAGACTTCGTCTGCAGCAGGTGGTGAGTAAACCAACCAAAAAAATTTGACCTCAGCCTCACTAGTGTGCCTGCCACACATACATCTGTCCATGGCAACATTGGTAAGAGTGACAATCACACAGACCTTGTGGAGCCAAAGTACCATGTTCACGCTGAATACCTCCCATCATGCTGTGGACCCCTAATGCCGTGTAAATGGGATAGACTTTGAACAAATCTAGCAAGGCAAGACTGGGCATCCATGAGGAACCATGGGCCAACAGCAGCAGCAACAAAATCATAATCCAAATCAATCTGCAACCTTGTGGCTCGGCATATCCTCTTACCACCACCACCACCACCACCACCACATCCCCACCCCCTACATCCCACTCTACAATCAAGCCAGGGAATCACCACTGGTTCAATCAAGAGTGCAGAAATATTTATCTGGAGCAGCATAAGATTTACCTAAAAATGAGGTGTCAACCTGCTGAAACTGAAAAACAGGACTACATGTGCTTCAAACAGCTTAAGCAGCGAATAATATACAAATCTATGCAATTCTAAACCAATGGATTAGATCGAAGCTCTACAGTCCTGCTGCATCCAGTTGTGAATGGCAGTGGACAATTTAGACCACTCACTGGAGGAGGTGACTCCACAAGCATCCCTATCCTCAATGATGGGGGAACCCAACACATCAGTACAAAAAGATTAAGCTGAAGCATTTGCAAAATTATTCATCCAGAAGTGCTGACTGGATGATCTATCTCCGCCTCCTCCAAAGGTCCTCACAGATTCCAGTCTTCAGCCAATTTAATTCACTCCATGCAATATCAAGAAATGGCTAGAGGCAATAGATACTGTCCTGACAACATTTCGGGCAATTGAACTGACGACTTGTGCTTTAGAACTTGCCATGCCCCTAGTCAAACTGTTTTAGTAGAGCTACAACATTGGCATCTATCTGACAATGTGGAAAATTGATCAGGTATGTAATTTACGCAAGAAGCAGGAGAAATCCAACCCAGCTAATTATCAACCCATGAGTCTACTACATCATCCTGGGGATTACCATTGACCAGAAACCAAACTGGACTAGCCATGTAAGTACCATAGCTACAAGAGCAGGTCAGATATACGGAATCCTGTAGTAAGTAACTCACTTACTGAGTCCCCCTAGCTTGTTCACCATCTTTGAGGCACAAATCAGGAGTGTGACAGAATGCTCCCTCCTTGCCTGGATGAGTGCAGCTCCAACTGAAGCTATTTGGAACAAAGTTGTTCACGTGACTGACATCACGACCAGAAACATTCATGTCCTCCACCATCAACATTCAGTATCGTTAGTGTGTATCATCTACAATTACATGTAGAAAATCAGCAAGGCTCCTTAGCACCTTCCAAACCCATGGCCACTACCATCTAGAAAGACAAGGGCAGCAAAAAAGTGGGAACACCACCACAACATGCAAGTTCCCCTCCAAGCCCCACACCATGCTCACACGGAAATATATTGCCATTCCTTCACTGTTGCTGGGTCAAAATCCTGGAACTCCCTCTCCATTGTGGCATTATGAGTCTTCCTATGTCAAATGGACTGCAACGTTTCAAGAAGGCA